CTACAGCTAATCAGATTATAGAACCAAGATAATCTTGCTAAGAATTAACTATTTCCTCCGAAATATTGAATCAATATGAAAAATTATTGTTTAAATACATTTAATCCAGTTTACTTACTTTAATTCAAATCATTAATACAATTTTTAACCTTCTATTGACTAAATTTCTATATTCTAGTATTGAAAATTCAAATTCGATTTGATAATAAATAAATAGTATAGTCAAATAAATGAATATATTTGCAGTTAAATATAATATTAAAAATCAAATGGAAAATATTTTGATTAATAAATAATTATCTCCAAACAGTATTTTTCTTTTTAATTTTTCCAGAAAATCTAAATTATAATCAAAAGTATTTGAGCTTTTTGTTTTGTTATTGATTTTTGATTCATTAATAATAGCCTGACAGCATTTAATTACAACTTAATAAATCACTTGAATTTAGGAAACGTTATGAAGCAAATTAAACTTTTCAATTATAATATTAATAAGATTTTCTAATTTTATTATTAATAATGTATAGCACAAGTTATTAGCAAAGCCATCAAATCATAAACACTAATAAAATATAGTTTAGTAACAGAGATATTCTTATCGAGAAAATGAATCGTTGTCTTGATTAATCAATTAAAATATTTCAGTTTCTTAAGACTGTCATTTTCAAGTAGATTGTTTTTTGCAATTTGAATAATTAAAATTTCTTATAATAGAATAATTTAATCCTACTTAAAATAATAATTATCATTAAACTTAAGGTGAAATAAAATTAAATATACATTTGAATTTTTAGAAAAATGAAGATTGAATATCCAAGATAATATTTATGAATAGAATAACATATAAACACATTATTTGCATAAAAAATGATATATTTATTACTAAGAACTGAATGTGATCTATATTAACACAAAAACTCAGAAAATAAAAGGAAAAAAGATTAACAAAAAAGATTAAAGGTCAAATATAGAATGCAAGTTAAATAAAGGTGGCAAGAACTTGATAGGATTGGAGTTCAAAATGAATATACTTTTGTGTATAGATTATATCATTAATGTGAAAATATAGAAATTAAAGTATTCTAATTTAGATTCATTTTTATGATAATATAATATGAATATATATAACCTTATTCACACAAAAAGACTTTCTGTTTCAATTTCTGAATTTATCATATTTTGAAACTTTCTGATACAATTGAAATAAGTTAGGATAATAAATATGGAATATTTATTCATAAGTTTTTTTCAGGTTCATAGTTGAGAATTATTGTTTAAAATTCTAATACATTAGATTCATAATATTTA